GGCGGGCGAGAAGCCCGTAGGATGAGCTCGTGGATTATGGTGGATTGTGCATTTTGTGGCCATTGGGCCTAGGCTAGACTTAGGGCATGAACACTGTATGTAGAGTTAGGCTTATGCATTGTATCATCGCTGTTCATGCCATATTTTGTCTAAGTTTAGCTTATGTTTATCATGATTTATTTTGGTGGATCATTATGTATATTTAGAGAATTGTTGTAATATTTGTAAAGAAGCTTGTAATTTGTATTATGGAAACTTGATGTAATATTGAAGTATGCTATATGATGAAAGGGTAATAGGCCTATTCTAGGATGTGATTTATGTTTTATGTCAAGGAGAATGCATGCAAAGGAATTAATGTGATTAAAATGATTATGGTTTTATAATGAAATGATTGAGTGGTAAAGTAAGTCAAATGATATAAATTGTGAAGGGTTGTAAGAGCACCAAGGAATTGCTTGTCCTTGAGTGCCACCCATGATTATTAGGTACAAAATTGAGGTTAGATAACACACCTTCAAGGGTGGGATTTATTGGAAAAACAAAGGAAACTCTGGCGAAATTTCTTGAAATTGGCAGAATTTCGGTGAACTTTGGGAGAGCATATCTCCCTCTACAAAAGTCCAATAGGGACGTGCCATATGCCATTTTAAAGCTTGTGATGTCAACTATCTTGTGTCAACATTTGAGAGTCATAGGAGTTGTACGCAGTCCTGTAGAAGGCAGAGAGCACAGACTGCTCAAAATGCCACTGCACTTGTGGTTGTTCTGGTGCAAGTTTGGGAAATTTATTCCCGCTATGTTTCTTGGTAAAATTAAATATATGATATGTCAAATTGAATCTTGAGGTGTCTATTTGACTGTATAAAAATTTGAGAGAAATTGGTTGAGTGAATTTTCCAGAATCACTGAGAGAGTAAGGACTGTTCGGAGTCCTGTTTGGGGTTGGCTGGCAGATTTGCTTGTCCAACTTCAAACGGTGATATCCGAAGAAAACGAGAACTTTATGACTCATGTGATAGCTCGTTAGAAAGGTAATTAAGTCTAAAATAACATACTAAAATATGAGAGGTTCTCGGCATGCGGTTTATCCGCAGTAATTAAAATACCGAACCATGTTTGGATAGGTTAAAAACGTAAAAGTGAGATTTTAGTTAAGTGGGTTTATGGGAACCCCTTAGTGACTTGAGAGAAGTATTATTTGATATTTAACCAGTTTAAATAATTATTCCGAAAGAGTTTTCAGTTACGGTCACAACTTTGATTTATTACGCTTTATTATTGTTTAAATGCTCGCGTAATAAAACGAAAAAAGTTTACTCGCATTTTTATAAATGAATTGCTGTGATTGTAAATGCGCTTAATATCATAATCAATGTTAACAATACCGGTACATAACGAGCTGTTACATTGTGTGATATTACAATTGTGATCTCTGGCCAGTAGATGTGTTGGTTTGGACTTCTGTTGGAATAGGCTCATTTAGGGAGCTTCAGTTGGGTTTTGTCGTAGGGATGTCTCTGGGAGTGGTAATAGAGAGATCAAAACATGCGACTTCCACTGGATAGGTCTTCGTAGGGAGTTCAAGTCGGGTTTTTCCGTGGAGTCATCTCAACCATGAGAGAGGCACGAGGAAGGTTCTCGAGAGCTATATGATGGGGTCCTTGAACGAATCCTTGTGTGGATGTTCTTAGATGTGAGCCCAGTGATTAATGTGATTTTGTATATTATATTGTTCATATGTTTATCATAGCACGCACATTGAGTGAGCCAGTGGGTGGAATGATCCTCCAAGACCCTTGGTTTACTAAGATATATATGTATATCTCACCCCACGTTTCAGGGCATCATTTCAGGTACTACTGATCACACTCGAGCATTAGAAAAAAGGCCTGCTTAGAGGTGGAGATGCATGTAAGGTGTGCATATGGACTATATAGCATTTTGGATAGATTTCATTTGATGCACATTATAGCCTTATTTTGTATCATGGACTTAGGTTATGAACATGGTATTGCTTGAGGTTTGTATTTGCCATGCTTTGGTTGTTCATCGTTATTTTCTAAGTCATTTGATCATGACGTATATTTTGGTATATGTATCTATTTATACCTCACTTGTTATTATGAGTTTTTGGTGAGCATGAGAGATGTCCATTGCCACACTTGATGTATTTGAAGTATTGATATTGTGGCTTATGTAAAAATTACCAATTGAGATATCATGGATATGTAATCATAGGGATAATGTAGATGATGTACCTATGGAAGAATATATGCATGATGGAAGGGCCTTAGGCCTATTTTAGAAGTTGGAGCATTTGATTTTGTTGGATGATAATTTATTTGGTACATGATTGAAAAATTGACAATTGTTGAAAATATAAATAGAGTGCTGCCCCATTTTCATATCCTATATGATAGAATTGGATCCATTGGCCTTATTGGAAGTTATAGATCTTTCTTTTAGCTTTTTAACGAGACCAAAATTGTATCAATTAGATTAGTATAACTCAAGTTATGGGTGAAACACCCAAGTAGGTTGAAATCCCCTGTTTTGGTGCCTGTCTCCAGACATGCAATGCTTTTGCGCCAAATAGCGCCACCAAACAGTGGGAAATCATATCCCTGGTGCTAATGGTGCCAAGTTGGCATTGTACCTCTGTTTCGTGGCACTATTAGCGCGGGGACGGCGCTATCAACGCGGTGCCCTGTGGAATCAGCACCTCTTCGCTTAGAAAATTCATAACTTGAGCTGCGGTGCTCCAAATTGAGCACGATTTGAACCCACACGAAGCTAACGAAGAAATATATAACATATTAGGAAATGAGTATCATTGGGGAAGTATAAAATTCCTAGAGTAAATAAAAAGGTGAAGACATTTAGTGTTAAACATGGATAGAATGAGTTTTAAGCTTTGTTGGTTTATGGGAACCACTTAGCAACCTTCAAATGTAAGTTGTATGGTATTAAGCTACTGTATTCATAATTTCGCTATAAGTTTTGAGTTATGATCACGGTTAGTATATTGACTGATACAGTTATTTTACAAGTGCAACGATATTAAAAAGAAAAAGTTTTTCCATAATTCTAAATAACTGTCGTGATTGTGAATGCGCTTAATATCATAATTAATGATAACACACTAGTCCGGTAATCGAGTGCTACGTTCAGCACACGAACATTGTCCTCATTCCACACGGCCTGGGAAATGTGCGCGCGTTGTGTCCTCTTTCGGAGGACTTCCCATATGTATGGTCCTAGAAACACGTGTGTAGTGGGACCGTAGGCTCAAGCTCCTGATCAGATGTAGACCGTAGAGACTCATATGATGATGAGTCAACCATAATAATAAATCTATAAAAAATTACAAATTCATTGTTATAATTAATTTAATTTTTAGTAATTTACATGTCTAGTACAAGATTTAAAATTATATTAAATTACAATTTTTTTATTAAAATTATGTATGCATATATTATAATTCTCTATAATTGTCCTAAGTCACTAATCATAACATAAGTTATTAACAATTTTCTAAGTCACAAACAAAATTTTGTCACTAACAAATTCCTAAGTCACTAATAAATTCCTAGGTCACTAACAATCAAGTCACTAACATATTCTTAGGTTACTAGCAAATTCATAAGTCACTAACAAATTCCTATATCACTAACAATTTTCCTAAGTCACTAACAATTTTCATTGGTCATTAATATAACATATATATTTTGTAATTAAAAAATATAGAAACTACATATTAAGATTTACTTGACTGACAGAGCATCACTACGCAAAATACTCAAGGAGGCCTCTAGAGAGAAGTCCGAGAAAATTCTTAGAGAGAAGGCACAGAGATAATGTAAAATGAAAAAGTGAAAATTTGGGAATTATATAGATTGCCTAGGTCACGCCTAAGTTGGGCGTGAGTGCTCTAGCCTATTCCAGGCATGAGTGCCTGGGTAGTCATGCCTAAGTTGGGCGCGAGTAATCTAGCAAAAATTAAGCGTGAGTGAGTGCAATAGATTCGTAAATTGATTCAAAACAACAATGTTTTCATAATTTTTTATTTATTAAAAAAGCAATATTTTAATTTTTTTGCAAGATCATACACATAAATTAAGTTATGAGCAATGTGTATTTCCAAAAATGGATCCTTTCATGTTTAAAAAAAATGACATGGTCATGTGAGAAGATCGCAATCATACAAGGGGAATCAACAATTATGATTTTATAACTTACTATTTTAATATTTTCTCTCTCTCTTCCTTTATCACTATTAATCTATCTTTGTATGATTATGATTCTCTATATGACCATATCATGTTTTTTAACATAAGAGGATTCGAATCCGTGTATTTCTGTATACTGAATTTTAAAAATAATTGACAAAATAAAGATACAAAAAGAGTAAAGTCCCTAACAAAAAACACGGTCCTTATCTTCGTCCTTTACAAAAAAAAGTCAACTTTTGATCCCTCTACAATTCCAGTTCTTTGAAAATGTGGTCCCTTAAAAATTTAATAAAGATCCAATTTAGTCCCTAAAAAGGATTAATATGAATGGAAAAATAAAACTTCTTTTTTTTTTTGAGTAAATACCCTTTTTGGTCCTCATAAAATTTCACGAGGCCCGTTTTAGTCCTTAACAAATAAAAAGGCCCATCGTGGTCCCTCAAAAATTCAAAAGGACCCATTTAGTTGAAATCGTGGTCCCTCACAAATTAAAAAAAGAGCCATATTAGTCCTCAAAAGGACTAAAATGGGTCCAATTTAAATTTTTTAGGGACCACGATGAGCCTTTTTATTTGCTAGGGACTAAAACGGGCCTCGTGAAATTTTCTGAGGACCAAAAAGGTATTTACTTTTTTTTTTTTTTTATGTTTTCTTTTTAAAAAAAAAAGAAAAAGAAAATTAACATGCGTCTTAGGTACGGGGGAGCGGTCGTTGTGCTTTGTTTGGGTGAGTCCAGATTCTGCGTTTCGAATCGAAGTTTGTTTGTTTATTATGTTGAGTTGTTCTTTAATGTTTCAATTCGTTTTCGACGCAGTCATGAAAAGTTTCTGAATAACTAACACAATTCAATGATGGAAGTGGAATCAAGGCGAATTAGGAGGTTTGGAGTTCAAAGGCACACACACGACAACACTCTTCTTCCTCTTTATGCGTCATCTTCCTCCTCTGATAATGTTTCTAACACCATTTCCTGTTGGTAATGTTTCTTCTTCTTATTCTCCTTCATTTTCATCTGTTTATGTTATGTGTGTGTATGTGTAAAATTAAGCAATTGTCTAACTCTATGAATGCAGGTATTGCGACTTCAAAATCTTCTCATTTAACAAACCCCTTTTCCAATTTGGTCGCAGACATGCAAGGTGGTCCCTTTTGCACACACCCTTTTGCTTTTTATGTTGATTGCTTCATGTTTCTGACAGTTTTTGTATGTGTGGCTTATCTTTATAGGTTTTTGAAAGTATGGTTTTCAATTGGGGTTGGTTTTGCCCTTTCTGCTTTGCTTGGAGTTACTTTTGTATGTACTTTGCCCTAAGTATTTTTTGGTGTTTCTGAAAGTTCTTTCTCATATTAAATATTTTGTTCCATGGCTTTCAATTAACTTGTTTAATGTCACACTTGCCCAGATTCTTCTTTGGGAATTAGCCAGAGCATTGCATCTCTGTGGTGACAGCAACAAGCTTGGAAACCTTGCAAGTGCCTTGCTATTTGGGTTCCCCCCTTTGGTTGGCAACTGAATCCCTTCTTTCCTAATTTAAATTAATTGTTTGTTTTTTAAATTTATGTCAATAGCAAAATGACAACACATGGAAAATGTGAATAATCTTTCTTCTGTCATGCTCGTACTAACTGCCTTTTGTGCAGTTGTCTGGTTTAAGCTTATCACTTGCTGATGCTGGGTGTATATGTATTTCTACAATCGTATCTGTTTTTGTGCATGAATTTGGTCATGCAGTTGCGGCCACCAGGTCAGTTGTCTTTGCTTTATTACCTCTCTTATTAAAATTGAGTGGTATCACGAACTAGTGTTAGATAAACCTTTTGGATCACACTCATCTATTGCTTGTTTCGAAAATGTAAGAAATATCTTGATGCTTAATTAATTTTGGTTAATGAATTTGTAAATAAACGTGCCTACTGCTGAATTCCTCATCAAAAGCATTCCTTTTCCACAACTTCATCTAAAGCGGATGCAAATCCATAATGTAGATGAACAAGTGGAAACAACTTCATCTATTTTGTGCATTCCAATTGCAACATTCATTAAATATACGACAAATCAGTGAACTTAATGTATGTCTGAGAAAGAATTTAGGGAATTTGGGAAGTAATTCACTAGGAAGGCTCTCAATAGTTGTGTTACAGTCATACAAAACGTTGACATATTCCCCTATTGATACCAATACTCTAAAACCACCAAATCACACGTACGTGTATTAGTTTGGGTGCAACACAATAAACTACCTACTTAGTCTACAAGGCTATCATAATTACTGAATTATATTCCGTAATAATGAAATTGGATAGACCATCCTTCTTTGTATCCTTCGTATTAAATTTTAAAAGCACTAAGGGCATTCATGAATCAAGTAGCATGAGTGAACTAGTTTGCATTTCATGAAGTTTTTGCTTTTATGATAAGTAAAGAGCTTTATTAGACACTGAAATTAAAGAAATAAAAAACCCACAAAATAATAAAACCAAAATAAACTAGAAAGAAACACATTAAGTTAGCAAAACTTGCCAATCTCTTTAAAATAGCTTTTAACCGACACCAAAAAGAAGCTAAACGAATATACTGTTTTATGCAATGAAAAAAGTAACAGCAAAAGTTATCCTTGTAAATTAGGGTGTTCCTTTCCAACAATAGTGTAAAGAACCAATTCAACCCAAAAGCTTAAGCTATTGGTTTTATATATCTCAACACGCCCTCTCACACGAGAGCTCACTGGATTTGAAGGGTGGACAATGCACAGGCCCAGAAGGGTGGACAATGCACAGATCCACCTACCTGTGCGAAGAAAGAAATTCCACTAGAAAGAAAGTGGGGGGCGATGAGGATCGAACCCGGGACACGAGGCTCTGATACCATGTAAAAAACCAATTCAACCCAAAAGCTTAAGCTATTGGGTGAGGCTACATTAATAGTTTTATATATCTCAACAAATAGTAACCAATCACTGCATGTATACTAAACCTACCTCTGTCCCCCTCCGCACCCAAAAGAAAAAAAATACTGCCTGTATTGCACACCAACTATGAACCATGCCTTCACTCCTCTCCAATCCTCTAAATTGGCATATGAAAAAACTGCTTCAAACTCTGTAGACAATTAATTTTCACAAAAACAACAAATGTGCACCACGAATATCGAACAACTGGATAGTGTAAAAATAAGCAGCTGCTAGAGTGCAAGTTTATAAATTAGAGGAGCGCATAACTAAAGCATTCAGCAGAGATAGCTTGGTGTGACTGTGATACAAATCTTGGGAGAATCTCACCCCAAAAGCTAGCTCATGAGGTAGGAGAGTCCAAAGTCTATATAAACCCCACACAAGAACTTTATGTAGGGGTGTAAATAAGCCAAGTGGCTTGTCAAGGGCCCAAGGCTTGGCTTGCTTTAAGCTTGGCTTGCTTTAAGCTTGGCTTGGCTTGACTTGTTTAATAAATAGAACTGGCTCAAACTTTAAAAAAAGCTTGTTTAACAAACAAGCCCAAGCCTAATTTAATGAGGTTTGGCTTGAAAGCCCGTGAGCTGACCCAATATATTATTATAATAAATAATATATTTTTATGTCACTAAATCATTAACACTATTTTTTATATCAAATTGCTCATGAAGGTGCTGATGGACTTTGGGGTAAGTGCTAAGTTTCCCTGGAGTAGCATGAGGTCTGGTAGTAGTGCTAATAGGTAGTTTTTTTTTCTTTGGTCAGGTGTTGTCAGTGGATATTAATTGTTAACCTCTTTGTTCCAATTTGAGGATGGGAATGATGGTGACATGATATGAGATTCCATTGTTTGTCGGGTTTGTTTGGTTATTTTAATAAAGGTCATAGTAACTGTTATTTTTTTTAATATTACAAACTATTATCACTGAAAATTTTTAAAGGTTAGTCTATATTATATACTTTTTTTTTGGTAATACATAGAGAAAATAAACTAGACTAAAACGAAGCGAGGGAAAGCTACCCCCCTACAATCTTGAAGAAATCTATCTTTGCAACCTACAGGAGGTGTGTTAAAAAACTGAATATCCCAGTTTGCAGTAAATGCATGCGTAGCTAACCAATCAGCTACCCCATTCGCTTCTCTATAAGTATGAGAAACATAAACCTGCCAGCTTCTTCCCAACAATTCCTTGATACGTAAAATCAGTCCATGTAAAGGATGCATCTCAGTATTCTGTTTTGAAAATAAATTAATTGCAACTGTCGAATCACCTTCCAGCCACACCTTTCTATAACCACATTCCCAAGCTATTTGAAGACCCAAATAAGAACCCCAAATCTCAGCAACAACTGATGAACTATACCCCAAATTCTTTGAGAAACCAACTAGCCAATCACCCCTACAATCTCTTAATACCCCTCCACAGCCAGATTGTAAACCACCTTGAGCACAAGAACCATCTGTATTAATCTTTATCCACCCTTCCAAAGGAAACTTCCAACTAATGAAAGTTTGAATCCTAGATGATTGCAACCGAAGACCGCCTTCTTTCAGAAGCAACTGAGCTTGTAAGTAATTATCTCTCAAAAGAAAAGCTGAACGAATAATGCTTGAAGGATAAGTCTCCAATTGCTCAAAAATCCATTCATTTCTTGCTTTCCAAATTAACCAACACACAATACCAAAAAGAATTGACCAATTCCCAGACACCTGCTCCATGTAATCAGTTGAGAGATTAATATGTAACCACTCACCCAGATCTTGGGCAAAGAATGATTGCCACTTGTGTTGAGGAATCAGATGGCACCATATCTCCCGAACCTTCCAACAATCTCTAACCGCATGAAGACAATCTTCGTGACCATAGCTACACTGAGAACACAGACTATTTTCTGATATGTGACGACGCAAGCGTTGATCATTAGTCAAAATGTTATTCCCCAAAAGCAGCCAAAGAAACGTTTTAACTCTAGGAGGCCCATTCCAACCCCACACTTTGTCCCAGGAACAACCTCTCAACCCGTGAACATACGGCTGCTGGAGATGTAAAGACTGGTCACTTATAGCTAAGTAAGCAGAACGCACCGTAAATCTTCCATCAGCAGCTAAATCCCATATCACGCGGTCACTACCACCAAGAGGAGATGGAGGGTGAATATTTGCAATGCGCATGCAGAACTCAGGAGGAAGAAGATGATCAAATCTCGACCAATTCCAGGACCCTTCCTCCGTAACATACTGTAGAGTTGAGCATTCAATTTCCTCATCTGGAACAACCTGCAAAACAAAATTGATTAGAGGTTCAAGATTGGGCACCCATTTATCTTTCCAGAATAATGTGGCATCTCCTACACCAAGTATAATACGAGATCCATTCTCCACATCATGCCAAGAGTTACAAATAGCCCTCCAAAGAGGAGAAGCGTTGCTTGGAGCTGTAATATCCGGAATGAGATGCTGAGAAACGCTATATTTATTCCTCAACAATCTAACCCACAATGCATCTGGTTGCGTCATCAAACCATGCCCAAGCTTCATAATGAAAGCTTTATTAAATTGTCTCATATTTCTAAATCCAAGACCACCATCTGCCTTTGGTAAACACACTTTATCCCAAGCAACCAAAGCCATCTTCCTTTGATCTAGTTTAGCTCCCCAAATAAAAGCTCTAGTTTTCTTTTCAACCTCCTGACAAACATTCATGGGAAGTAATGCTGTCTGCATGGAATAAGTAGGGATAGTGCTTAACACTGATTTTGCTAAAACAATCCTACCTGCAAGAGATAAAGCAGATTGCTTCCAACCATTCAGATGCTGGTTAACCCTCTTCATCACATGAGCATAAGAGCTCTTAGAAATCCTCCCATGGTGAAGTGGAATACCAAGATATTTTCCAAGATCCATAGTTAAGGAAAAACCCGTCTTATTACTTATCTCAGTGGACCTAATGTGACTGACATTCCTCGAGAAAAAATTCTTCGACTTTTCCCTACTCACTCTTTGACCAGAAGCCTTACAAAAACAATCTAGAATAGCTGGAATTATTCTTGCTTGTTCCATCGAGGCCTCAGCAAACAGAAGAAGGTCATCAACGAAGAAGAGATGAGAAATTGGTGGACCATGTCTTCGCAGAACCACAGGCTTCCAAGTCTTCCCTTCCATCGCAAGATTAATCATTTGTCCTAGTCGCTCCATGCAAAGAACAAAAAGGTAAGGCGAAAGAGGATCACCTTGACGAATACCTCGAGAAGGAGTAAACTCACGAGTCATGCTACCATTCCAAAGCACATTCATTGATGTTGTTGTAACAAAACACATAACCAGATTTATAAGAGAATCTGGAAAGCTTGCATCAGATAACTTATCACGAAGAAAATCCCAGGCAATTCTATCATAAGCCTTCTCTAGATCAACCTTTAGAATAATCCACCCTTTAACACCTTTCTTTTGTCTCATAGAGTGCATAATTTCTTGAGCCACAATGATATTTCAGTACCTTGTCTCCCAGGGACAAAACTACACTGGTTAGGCATAGTAAGCTTTCCCATTACCTCTCTAACCCTATTGGCAACAATCTTCGTAACACATTTATACACCACATTTCACAGGCTTATAGGACGAAACTGGGAAATCATCTCAGGCCTGTCAATTTTAGGAATAAGGCATATCAACGTTTGATTAATGGATCTAACTTTCTGTGGATCAGCAAAGATACCATTGACTAGCTCCAAAACCGCATCTTTAACTAACTCCCATTTTGACTGGTAAAAAAGAGCATGAAGGCCATCCACCCCAG